TGTTTTCGAGCCAGTTTTTCGCCTAATCTATCATTGTCCCTTTGGTTTTTCCTGCCAAGGTGTGACCGTTTGTAGTTGTAATGCAGGGGTCTTCAAACTTGGCCACTTGAAGACTTGTGGACATCAACTCCCAGGATTCTGGGAGTTGAAGTCCGCAAGTCATGAAAGGGCCAAGTTTGAAGACCCCCCAGCTTATATGGTCCATGCTGGCTGAGGAATTCTGGGAGTTGAAGTCCACAAGTCATGAAAGGGCCAAGTTTGAAGACCCCTGTCTTAAATCTGTCAAACAAAATGGAGGCTGGCTGAGGAATTCTGGGAGTTGAAGTCCACAAGTCATGAAAGGGCCAAGTTTGAAGACCCCTGGCTTATATGGTCCATGCTGGCTGAGGAATTCTGGGAGTTGAAGTCCGCAAGTCATCAAAGGGCCAAGTTTGAAGACCCCTGTCTTAAATCTATCAAAAAAAATGGAGGCTGGCTGAGGAATTCTGGGAGTTGAAGTCCACAAGTCATGATAGGGCCAAGTTTGAAGACCCCTGGCTTATATGGTCCATGCTGGCTGAGGAATTCTGGGAGTTGAAGTCCACAAGTCATGAAAGGGCCAAGTTTGAAGACCCCTGCCTTATATGGTCCATGCTGGCTGAGGAATTCTGGGAGTTGAAGTCCGCAAGTCATCAAAGGGCCAAGTTTGAAGACCCCTGTCTTAAATCTATCAAAAAAAATGGAGGCTGGCTGAGGAATTCTGGGAGTTGAAGTCCACAAGTCATGATAGGGCCAAGTTTGAAGACCCCTGGCTTATATGGTCCATGCTGGCTGAGGAATTCTGGGAGTTGAAACTCCACAAGTCATCAAAGGGCCAAGTTTGAAGACCCCTGTCTTAAATCTGTCAAACAAAATGGAGGCTGGCTGAGAATTTCTGGGAGTTGAAGTCCACAAGTCATGAAAGGGCCAAGTTTGAAGACCCCTGTCTTAAATCTGTCAAACAAAATGGAGGCTGGCTGAGAATTTCTGGGAGTTGAAGTCCACAAGTCATGAAAGGGCCAAGTTTGAAGACCCCTGTTATAACAGCACGGAAAAAAATGACTTCTGAGCATTTTTCACACTTACCACCATCTCAACCTCCCCATTATCATGTAATTTACATTTGGACGCTTGACAACGAGTTCGTATTTACGACGGTCGCCACGTCCCGGGGGTCACATGATCTCCTTGTGCGACCTTCCGACCCGCAAAGTCAGTGGTGGAAGCCAGGTTCACTTAACATCAGTATTATTAACTCAACAACTGCCCTGATTCACTTCAGAACTGTGGCAGGAAAATGGAGCAAAACTCACTCAAGTGTCTCACTTAGCAACGGAAAGGTTAGGCTCCAATGTGGTCGTAAGTTGAGGACTCCCTGTCCTCGTTTCTTGATTGCGGGAAGAGCTTGTGAGATCAGCTGTGACCCAGTTAACAACCTCCGGGTATTTTTTTTTTTTTTTTAGCGACAGAAATTCTCAATTCTTAGTAAATTGGAGGACTATCTGTCGAGAGTTGTTCTTTGAAATGCAAACATCCTAAAGAAAGATCTTAGATGCAAGAAGCCCTCCTGAAAGTGCTAATAATTGCAAGAAAACTTGGATTTTAGAGTTGTGAGTCAGGTTGGAACTCGGCACGATAAAAAACATTCTTTGAAAAATCTATTCTGGCAAACTCTCAAGTGCGACTAAATAATTCACAGATGTTCTCCGTACCAAACACACCCCTGTTTTTTTTTCCCCACTTTTTGGAGTCGAGCAGTATTATGCAAATTGCAAAAAAAAAAAAACCCTAGTAAGCAAAAATTTAAAAAAAAAATTGTTCGGGTATGAACTAAAAGAGAAAGAACGATAGCCAAATGTTGTTTATATCCAGGGTATTTATTCTCTGCAGATTTTTTTCTCCATAGGTTTGCCAACCGTCTTTCGTATCTCACCACATTTACACGCTGCTTGTCGCTCGTTTCACTGTTTGTTTTTAAGATTCGGACTGATTTGAAAGTGGATTTTTTTTAAAAAAAATGACAGCCTTACAAGAAGGACCTGGAAAAAAAAAAAAAGACGTCACACTGCTTGGGTGAAAAGAAATCAGCCGATGCCTTCGTAAATAAAAGGGATTTGGGCATCGTTTTGATCAGAGAGAATGATTTCCTGCCTGAGATGGAGGGGGTTGGACTAGATGACCTCCAAGGTCCCTTCCAACATTATTATTATTTTGGATCATCGCACAGTCAGCCAGATGTTCAGACTGGATTTGGCATTTTGTCTACCTATCGAGTCCTTACCCAGGACCTGGGATAGGCAGATGTGGATGTTTGATGGTACTAAGGTATCGTCGCAGGATGGAAGCAGTTCCTAGTAAGGCCGCCTTTTGCAACTGACTAATAGCGAATTTGTCAATGCCGATGATGGTGTTCAAGTGGTGCTCCAGTTGTTTTGGGATTGCACCCAAGGAGCCTATGACTATTGGTACCACCCTTGCTTGCCTTTGCCACAGTCTTTCTATTTCTATTTGTAGGTTTTTGTATTTTGTTATCTTGTCCAGTTCGTTCTCTCTATTATTATTATTATTATTATTATTATTATTATTATTATTATTAATCATCACACAGTCAGCCAGATGTTCAGACTGGATTTGGCATTTTGTCCACCTATCGAGTCCTTACCAAGGACCAGGGATAGGCAGATGTGCATATTTGATAGTATTACAGGTATCGTCGCAGGATGGAAGCAGTTCCTAGTAAGGCCGCCTTTTGCAATTGACTGATGGCGAAGTTGTCAATGCCGATGATGGTGTTCAAGTGGTGCTCCAGCTTTTTGGGGATTGCATCCAAGGTGCCTATTACTATTGGTACCACCCTTGCTTGCCTTTGCCACAGTCTTTCTATTTCTATTTGTATTATTATTATTATTATTATTATTATTATTATTATTATTATTATTATTATTATTATTAATCACCGCACAGTCAGCCAGATGTTCAGGCTGGATTTGGCATTTTGTCTACCTATCAAGTATTATTATTATTATTAATAATAAAAAAACATGAGATAAGTTTTCTTACCTTGGATACCGATTGTCCTTGACTTACGGCCTCAATTGATCCTCAAATTTCCATTGCTAACCAAGACAGTTCTTAAGTGAGTTTTGCCCCATTTTACGGCCTTTTGGGCCACATTTGTTAAGTGAACCACTGCAGTTATTAAGTTAGAAACACGGTCGTTAAGTGAATCCAGCTTCCCCCATTGATTTTGCTTGTCGGAAGGTCGCAAAAGGGGATCACGTGACTCTCTGCGATGGTCATAAATGGGAGTCAGTTGCCCAGCATAGAAATTTTGATCACGTGAGCACAGGGGTACATGAGTGGGAAAAATGGTCATATGTTATTTTTTTTTAGCACTGTTGTAACTTTGAATGGTCACTAAAGGAACTTTTGTAAGTCAAGGATTACCTGTATTTAAAAAAAAATTAAAATTACGGTCACTAAAAGAACTGTTGTAAGTCGAGGCTTTCCTGTATTTAAAAAAAAAATTAAAATTGAATTGCATTCAAAAATCTTTTAGGTGGTGTTGAAGGGCTTGCCTCTTACCCTGGAGGAAAAACAGTTTCCTTACTATCAGCTTACTCTTCCGTATTTCCAAGGACGTCCAGAGTAGTTTAACAGAAGAAACTCAGACCGGGAAATAACGGGTCTTTCCTTTGTCTTAACGCTCTTTTAAAATGTGAAAAATTTTCTTTTTTGTTTCTTTGTTTGTTTGGTTTCGTTATTGTCTTTGCCTTTTTTTTTTCCTTTTTGAGTTTGTATTTTAACTTTTGAATGAAATAAAGTGTTTATTTAAAAAAAAAAAAGAAAAGTGAAGGAAAGCACATTTGGCCTCCGTCAGCGGGAATTATAATTCCTGCGAAATCAGCCTTCAAATCGCGTCTGACTGTCTTGTCTGTCTGCCTGCCTACCGCCTTCCAATTAGGGTTTTGTCTCCAGGTGACTAGTCCCTGCAGTTTTCCTGGCAAGGTTTTTCCAGAAGCGGTTTGCCATTGCCTCCTTCCTGGGGCGGAGAAAAGAGGCTGGCCCAAGAGTACCAACGGCTTTGTGCCTAAGGCGGGACTAGAATTCAAGAACTCTTGGTTTCTACTCTCGTCTCTTTACCCCCTACAGCTAGTCCTCGCTTAGCGACTATACAGCCACTTGTCCGAAATGGTGTAGGGTTTCCTGCCCGAGCAGGGGGTTGGACTAGATGACCTCCAAGGTCCCTTCCAACTTTACTACTACTATTATTATTATTATACGAAGTTATGACGGACCCCCAAAGGTATTTATGACTTGGTTTCAAAGCTCCGGCTGTGACACACAAACACACACACACATACCACAACAGAGCCCCAAATTTGGTGCTAAGCAAGACAATTGTTAAGTGACTTTTGCCCCCATTTTACAACCTTTTTGCCAAAGTTGTTAAGTGAATCACTGCAGCTGTTAAGTTAGCAACACAGTTGTTAAGTAGATCTGGCATCCCCCATTGATTTGGCTCTTCAGAAAGTCGCAACGGGGGGGGGTCACATGACCCCGGCATACTGCAAACCGTCATAAATGTGAGTCGGTTGCCAAGCAACGATCACGTGACCCCGGGGAAGCTGCAATGGACGGTCACTAAACAAACTGTCGTAAGTTGAGGACCTACCTATACTGACTCAGCTTCCTCGGTTTCGTTTAGCGATCGCCACGTTCGCTTTATCGCTGGGCCACTCACTTCGCCACTGCCCTCCAAAAACTGTAAAATCGACTCGGCCACGTGGCTGCTTGGACTTACGACGGCCACGCCTTGCCGCAGCCATTCCAGACTCCGTTATGGTCGTTAAGGCGAGGACTACCTGTTACGCTTAAACTTAAAGTCTCCCCAATCTACACGAGGCAGAAAGATTGAAATGCAGATGTTTTGAAATTGCTGACGATACATGTTGAAACCCCGGTCTGCCCTTTCTCCCCAGAGGGAATGTCTGTCAATCCACATCGGTCAGGCGGGAGTCCAAATGGGGAACGCCTGCTGGGAACTTTACTGCCTGGAACATGGGATTCAGGCGGATGGCACCATCCCGGGCACCCCGGCCCCTCCGAAGAGCGAGACCGAGCAAGTGGAGTCCTCTTTTGAGACCTTCTTTTGTGAGACGGCCTCCGGGAAGCACGTGCCTCGGGCGGTGTTCGTGGATCTGGAACCCACCGTCATCGGTAAGGTACCCCAAAAGTAAGCCCTACCCCGCACCCACTTATCATTGCAGCTAGGCCTCTCCTCGCTAGCCCACTTCTTCTTCTGTGGTGTCTTCTGCAGCCCGGCCTCCATTTCTGGAAAGGCCACTGCAGCCGAGAACCGAGCTATGGATTGAATCTAGAGCTCAGTCCTCAGCTGCAGTGGCCTTCCGGAGAGGCCCGACTGCGAAATGCAGACCCGAATGCAGTTGCAGAACTTCAGCCCCAGAAGAAGTGGACCGGATGGGCGGTGTTGTCGGTGCTGGAGGTGAGTAAAAAAGACACACAACCCACGAAAATAAGACCTGGTGCCTCTTTTGGAGGTGAAAAAAGGGGGGGGGGGAACCCGGTCTTATTTTCGGTACTTGGCCAACATTTCGAAGGAGAAGGAGAAGAAGAAAAGAAGAAGGAGGAGGAGGAGGAGGAGGAAGAGGAGGAAGAGGAAGAGGAAGAGGAAGAAGAAGAAGAAGAAGAAGAAGAAGAAGAAGAAGAAGAAGAAGAAGAAGAAGAAGAAGAAGAAGAAGAAGAAGAAGAAGAAGAAGAAGAAGAAGAAGAAGAAGAAGAAGAAGAAGAACTACTACTACTTCTATTGAGGTTCGTCTAAGAAGGGTTAGGTTAGAATATAAGACTCCGAGGACTGGAAGCGACCTTGGAGATCTTTACCGAACTTCAGCAGTTGTGGCTGCTCCATCCCTGGAGATTTTCCAGAAGAGCTTTACACCATCCTAGGCAAACAGCTGTCCAGTCTCTTCTTAAAAACTTCCAGTGTTGGAGCATTCACAACTTCTGGAGGCAAGTTGTTCCACTGATTAATCGTTCTCACAGTCAGGAAGTTTCTCCTTAGTTCTAGGTTGCTTCTCTCCTTGATGAGTTTCCATCCGTTGCTTCTCGTCCTGCCTTCAGGCACTTTGGAGAATAGCTTGACTCCCTCTTCTTTGGGGCAGCCCCTGAAGTACTTGAAGACAGCTATCATGTCCCTCCCCCCAGTCCTTCTCTCCGACAGGCTAGACCAGTGGTTCTCAACCTTTTTAATGCCGCGACCCCCAACCGGTCGTAAGTCGAGGACTACTCAACCGGTCGTAAGTCGAGGACTACTCAACCGGTCGTAAGTCGAGGACTACTCAACCGGTCGTAAGTCGAGGACTACTCAACTGGTGCAGCACCGTTTGCAGAATGGGACTTTTGGCGGGCTCAGCAGGGCAGAGGCAGCCTGGACAATTCCTATTGGCTTTGGAAAGCCAATAGAATTAGACTCTATTCAAGAGAGTCTCTTCTATTGGCTTTCAAAAGCCAATAGAAGAAAAGGGAGGAGCGCAGCTAAGGAAAAGGGGGGGAAAATGGCGGACTGCGTTGTTTGGCGACCCCCGTGAAATGGTCGTTCGACCCCAAATGGGGTCCCGACCCACAGGTTGAGGACCACTGCGCTAGAGATACCTTCTGGGTAGCCTACGCTCAACCATTTGCCGGCCCTCCACCATTTCTTGGGCACCCTTCATTCCCCAAAACACGAAGTCTCTTTTTCAGCTCCCGTGAAAACGATTGTGCCCTTTCCGTGACAAAAAAAGGGTAGCGGTCTTCTTGTTTAGACTTCCTGGCTTCAATCAACAATGGTGAGGTTTCCTGTCGGTGCCTATCACGCTCTGAGCAGGGTCCGGTCTGAGTAGCTTGAGAGATAAGTGAAAGAGGGCCAGCCCGGCTCTCGGCAGCCACCAAACAGTTGCAGGAAATGCAGAGGGCGTGTTACGTTTGCCCTTGCACAGGGCCCGGATCATCTTTTTGACACCACAAGCTTCATTTTTTTAAAAACAAACAAACAAATAAATAAATACACCACAGCTGCTGCTGTAAATCCCTGGTGCCTTCAAAAGCTACTTTTCTTGCTGAAAACTATTTATCCATAGCTGTCTTCAGGAAGCTTTTTGGCGACATGTTTATTTTTTTTCTTTAATAAAATGTACGTGTTAAACTTCCTAAAATCTAATCTAATTTACGAAAAGAAGAAACAAGGGAGACATGATAGCAATGTTCCAGTATCTGAGGGGCTGCCCCAAAGAAGAGGGAGTCAAGCTATTCTCCAAAGCACCAGAGGGAAGGACGAGAAACAACGGTTGGAAACTGACCAAAGAGAGAAGCAACCTGGAATTAAGGAGAAAGTTACTAACAGTGAGGACAATTAACCAGTGGAACAGCTTGCCACCAGAAATCGTGGGAGCTTCATCCCTGGAGATGTGTAAGAAGAGGCTAGACAGTCACCTGTCTGAGACGGCGTAGGTTCTCCTGCCTGAGCAGGGGGCTGGACTAGAAGACCTCCAAGGTCCCTTCCAGCTCTAGTCTCTTCTAAATTCAATGCTATTTATTTATTTATCAAATAGCATGCCTTCTCAATGAAAACTGGAGATTGGTAACCCAAACACTGGGGAGAAATTAACTCATCTCCCCCCCCCCCCCAGTGTTGGCCTGCAGGAAGCCCCTGATGCGATACACAACGTTGATACAAAGTTCTCGGGAAAAATCTGAACGGCGACACAATCTGAGCCCTGTTGGACCCACTGGTGAGAAAAACGGCAATTTCGCGTCATCAAAAGGACGGCCACAAATCTGATGTGAACGCAACCAAAAAGACGGGGGAAGATTGGGAGGGGGGAAAAAAAAACCAATCTGCAAAACCGATAGAATATTTGTAGTTGAGGGCTGAATGGTGGCGCCCCCGGTGCTCTCTACACTTGATTGGTTCCTGCAGACGTTTCACGACCCAGCTAGGGAACATCATCAGTTCTGGAAGGGAGTGGAGTTTGTGGAGAGCAGGAGAAGGAGGAGGAAGAGGACTGTGGGGTCCTTGATGGTCTCTGAGCTGGGTGGTTTTCTTGCAGATGTTTTATGAACCATCTAGGTAACATCAATGGATAGAAGCACAGGTCTCAAGCACTGATGATATTACCTAGTTGGGTCATGAAACGTCTGCAAGGAAACAACCAAGCTCAGAGAGCACCAGGGACCTCCACAGCTCTCCTCCTCCTCCTCCTCCTCCTCCTTCTCCTCCTCCTCTTCTTCCTCCTCCTCCTCTCACAAACTTTAGTCCCTTGTAGTACTGATGATATTACCTAGTTGGGTCATGAAATGTCTGCAAGGAAACAACCAAGCTCAGAGAGCACCAGGGACCCCACAGCTGCTCTCCTCCTCCTCCTCCTCCTCCTCCTCCTCCTCCCAGAAACTTCAGTCCCTTGTAGTACTGATGATATTACCTAGTTGGGTCATGAAATGTCTGCAAGGCAACAACCAAGTTCAGAGAGCACCAGGGACCCCACAGATCTTCTCCTCCCCCTCCTCCTTCTCATCCTCCTTCTCCTCCTCCTCCTCCTCCTCCTCTCCACAAACCCCTCCCTTCTAGCACTGATGATATTACCTAGTTGGGTCATGAAACGTCCAGAAGGAGACCACTCAGCTCAGAGGGCACGCAGGGGCCCCCCTTCCACCGGAGAGACCCTCTGCAGTGTCTTCCTTCTGTTAACCTTTCCAAATCAGCCGGCATTTTCACCAGGGGCGTTTAGGCCCGTCAGCTAATTCTTTCCCTCTCTCGGCAGACGAGATCCGCACAGGGACCTACCACTCCCTCTTCCACCCGGAGCAGCTGATCAGCGGCAAAGAAGACGCTGCCAACAACTATGCCCGGGGCCACTACACCATTGGCAAGGAAATCATCGACACCGTCCTGGGCAGGATCCGCAAAATGGCAAGTGAGCAGGGCATTTCCCCCCTGAATGACTGCAACTTTAGGGCTTCTGGACTTCAACTCCCAGAATTCCCCGGCCAGTTAGAACAGGATTTCTCAATCTTGGTGACTTTAGAGCAGTGTTTCTCAACCTTGACAATTTTAAGGCATGTGGACTTCAACTCCCAGAATTCTACAGCCAGTAAGAGCAGGTTTCCCAACCTTGGCGACTTTGTTTCTCTCTCTCTCTCTGTTTTTCTCTTTCTCTGTTTCTCTCTCTTTCTGTTTCTCTCTTTCTCTCTCTGTTTCTCTCTCTCTTTCTCACTCTGTTTCTGTGTCTGTTTCTCCGTTTCTCTTTCTCTCTTTCTCTCCGTTTCTCTCTTTCTGTTTCTCTCTGTTTTTCTTTCTCTTTCTGTTTTCTCTCTCTGTTTCTCTCACTCTCTTTCTGTTTCTTTCTGTTTCTCCATTTCTGTTTCTGTTTCTCTTTCTCTCACTTTCTTTCTCTCTCTCTCTCTTTCTCTGTTTCTTTCTCTCACTCTTTCTGTTTCTCCGTTTCTCTTTGTTTCTGTTTCTCTTTCACTCTTTCTTTCTCTCTTTCTCTTTTTCTTTCTGTTTCTCTTTCTGTTTCTGTTTCTCTTTGTTTCTGTTTCTCTTTCTCTCACTCTCTTTCTTTCTCTCTTTCTGTTTCTTTCTCACTCTTTCTGTTTCTCCGTTTCTCTTTGTTTCTGTTTCTCTTTCACTCTTTCTCTTTCTATGTTTCTCTCTGTGTGTTTCTCTTTCTCTTTCTGTTTTCTCTCTGTTTCTCTTTCTCTTTCTGTCTGTTTCTCTTTCTCTCACTCTTTCTGTTTCTCTGTTTCTCTTTGTTTCTGTTTCCCTCTCTCTCTCTCTCTCTCTCTCTCACACACACACACACACACACACAGAGAGAGAGAGAGAGAGAGAGAGAGAAGGAGAGAGAGTGTTGTGTGATCCTCTTTTGCGACCTTCTGATGAGCAAAATCAATTGGGGAAGCCAGATTGCTTTAACAACCGTGCCGCTGACTTAACCACTGCAGCGATTCCCGTAACAACGGCGGCAAGGGAGATCATAAAAGGGAGGGGGCAAAGCTCGCTTAACGAAGGCCTCGCTTAGCAGCAAAACCTGGGGCTCCCTTGCACTCACCAGTCAAGGTCGTATGTTTGATGGGGCAGCTTCGTTGTCTGGGCCAAGCCTGGCTGTCTTGAGAGGCCAGCGGACGGCCTCGGTAACCTCCTTTCTCTCGCCACTCCAGGCTGACCAGTGCAGTGGCCTGCAAGGGTTCCTGGTCTTCCACAGCTTCGGTGGCGGGACGGGCTCAGGCTTCACCTCTCTCCTGATGGAACGACTCTCCGTGGAATACAGCAAGAAGTCCAAGCTGGAGTTCTCCGTGTATCCCGCCCCGCAGGTCTCCACCGCCGTGGTGGAGCCCTACAACTCCATCCTGACCACCCACACCACCCTGGAGCACTCGGACTGCTCCTTCATGGTGGACAACGAAGCCATCTACGACATCTGCAACCGGAACCTGGACATCGAACGTCCGACCTACACCAACCTCAACCGCTTGATCGGGCAGATTGTCTCCTCGGTGACGGCTTCCCTGAGATTTAACGGGGCCCTGAACGTCGACCTGATCGAGTTCCAGACCAACCTGGTGCCCTACCCCAGAATCCACTTCCCCTTGACCACCTACGCCCCCATCATCTCGGCCGAAAAGGCCTACCACGAGCAGCTCTCCGTGCCGGAGATCACCAACGCCTGCTTTGAGTTTTCCAACCAGATGGTCAAGTGCGACCCCCGCCGGGGCAAGTACATGGCCTGTTGCCTCTTGTACCGGGGAGACGTGGTGCCGAAGGACGTCAACGCGGCCATCGCCGCCATCAAGACCCGGCGCTCCATCCAGTTTGTCGACTGGTGCCCGACCGGCTTCAAGGTGGGCATCAACTACCAGCCGCCCACCGTGGTGCCCGGTGGAGACCTGGCCAAGGTGCAGCGGGCCGTCTGCATGCTCAGCAACACCACGGCGATCGCCGAGGCCTGGGCCCGGCTGGACCACAAGTTTGACCTCATGTACGCCAAGCGGGCCTTCGTCCACTGGTACGTGGGGGAAGGCATGGAGGAAGGCGAGTTTGCCGAAGCTCGGGAAGACCTGGCGGCTCTGGAGAAGGATTACGAAGAGGTCGGGCGGGATTACGCCGACGGGGAGGAAGAGGAGGCAGAGGAAGATTTTTAGAAGAAAGCGCAGGCCAAACTCTGTGTGCGCAAACAAGCTGAGGTCAAAAAGAAAACAAAAAAAGGACGTTCTATCACCCGGCCGAAAAATATCCACGGTTTAGCACAAGGTAGGCAACCTCGGCTCTTTTATGACTGGTGGACTTCAACTCCCAGAATTCCTGAGCCAGCTATGCTGAGGGGAAAGGGAGAGGTTTCCAAGCTGAGCCAGGCTGGCTGAGGAATTCTGGGAGTTGAAGTCCGCAAGTCATGAGAGAGGCCAAAATTTCTCCCATGCTGGCTCAGGAATTCTGGGAGTTGAAATCCAGAGTCATAAAAGAGCCGAGGTTGCCTACCCTTGCCCTAGGCCTAGGCCGCTTTATGACTCGTGGACTTCAACTCCCAGAATTCTTGAGCCAGCCATGCTGAGGGGAAAGGGAGAGGTTTCCAAGCTGAGCCAGGCTGGCTCAGGAATTCTGGGAGTTGAAGTCCACGAGTCATAAAAGAGCCAAGATTGCCTACCTCTGGTCTAGGAGGCTCACCGCTTAGAACAGGAGGACTTAGGACAGGGGTAGGCAACCTTGGCTCTTTTATGACTCGTGGACTTCAACTCCCAGAATTCCCGAGCCAGCATGAGGGAACTATGGCTCCTTCATGACTCCTGGACTTCAACTCCCAGAATTCCTGAGCCACCATGGCTCAGCTTGGAAACCTCTCCCTTTCCCCTCAGCATGGCTGGCTCAGGAATTCTGGGAGTTGAAGTCCACGAGTCATAAAAGAGCCAAGGTTGCCTACCCCTGGTTTAGCATCAGGATTCTCGTGCCATTATTATTATTGTTGTTATTTTTTAAAAAATTACAATCTCCTCTTCTTCAAGGACTAGAACACGTCGTACTTTGCTAGATGTCCCGCTCCCGCTGTAGCCCCCCCTTTTTTAATCTTCCTAGTTAGAACGAAAGCAAATAATAATAACAATAATAATAATTAACGCTTGAGTGAGGATTTGGGAATCTCCGGGCTTGACAAAAAGGCATTACGTACGGCTCTCGGATCGTGTTGGGGCAGGGGGGCAAAAAAAACCCGTCAATGTTATTATGAGATGCAATAATCCGCTTCTTTGTACTTCATTAAAAAAAGTTGAAATCTTGCAGATAGGGCTTTTTTCTGAGAGAGCAACAGGGGTGTCTTCCGTACTCTGACCAAAAGTTGTCGCTTTGCCCCCACAGGTGCCTTTGCGGACCCGTTGCGATTTGGCTATTTTCCTCTTTAAGAGCTCCGCTCCTTGAGTTACAACGTTCATTTAGCGACCGCCCAACACTGAAGGAAGGGACTTAGGACCGTTTTGCAGACTTAACAACCGTCGCGGCATCCTCCCCCCCCCCCGTGGTCACATGATCAAAATGCAGCCGCTTGGCAACTGGTTCGTATTTACGACGGTGGCCGTGTCCCGGGGGGGGGTGTCACGCGATCTCCATTTGCGACCTTCTGACTAGCCAAGTCAACGGGAGGAAGCCGGATTCGCTTAACGACGGTGTTGCTAACTTAACAACGGCAGCGCTTTACTTACTCAGATTGAGGAAGGTTGTAAAGTGAGTTTACAGCCGTGATTCACTTAACAGGTGCAGCAAGGAAGGTGGTGGAATGGGGCAAAGCTCACTTTAACCAGTGTTTCACTTAGCAACGTACATTTTGGGCTCAGTTGTGATTGCAACTCGGAAGGAAGGAAGGAACGAACGAAGGAAGGAAGGAAGGAAGGAAGAGAAAAAGGGGGAAAGAAGGACAGGAGGAAGGGGAAGAGGGAAGGAAGGAAAAGCAAAGAAGGAAGGAAGAGGAAAGAGGGAGGAAGGAAGGAGAGAAAAAGAGGGAAGGAAGGAAGGGGAGGGAAGGGAAAGCAAAGAAGGAAGGAAGGGGAAAGGGAGGAAGGAAGAAGAGAAAAAGGGGAAGGAAGGACGGGAGGAAGGGGAAGAGGGAAGGAAGGAAAAGCAAAGAAGAAGGAAGGAAGGGGAAAGAGGGAGGAAGGAAGGAGGGAAAAAGGGAAGGAAGAAAGGGGAGGGAAGGGAAAGCAAAGAAGGAAGGAAGGGGAAAGGGAGGAAGGAAGGAGAGAAAAAGGAAGGGAAGGAAGGACAGGAGGAAGGAAGAAAAGCAAGGAAGGAAGGGGAGGAAGGAAAGAAAGAAAAAGAAAGAAAGAAAGAAAGAAAGAAAACTATCTTCCAACAATGCAATGGCTCTCTTCACCTCCTCCTGCCCCCAAAGACTAGACTCTGAGAATGCTAGTTTACACAGCCTAACTTATCCAGGCTTGTTTCAGAGCTACCAGCCGTACTTCCCTGGTTTACAGCTATATAAATCCGTACTCCTGGGCTAAGGGCCTCTCTCGGTTGGTTTCGTGAAGCCAAAAAGATAGTTAATTTGGCATTGGCGTGAATTACGTTCCATGAACCCAGCCTGTGTTTGGGGAGAAGTCCTAGTAAATGAAAAGGGTCCCAGAATAAAAGAACTGAATTTTTTTTTTGGCCTGGAAGAAAAGATTTTTTTCAGCCTCCCAGAGAAATTTTATCTCCACCAGCCAGATTGTTAAAAAATGGATCGGACGACCCAGTTGCAGATGGATCAAAAACCTTTTTGTGAGTTTGAGAGTTTGCCTTGTGCCTGTTGCTTGACCTTCTGTTCTGTAAAGTATTTATCCCCCCAATATTTTCACTTGGAAATCCCGAGAGAGACAAAGAAGTCAAGTAACATTGCAGCAGAATGCCACAGGAGGCCGTTTTTATATGCCTTTCAAGAAAATTACACAGACCTAAAAAAAAAAAAAAAAAAAATGAAGTCACTGCAGCCGAGGCACATCTAAATTAACATTTTCATCATGATTTTTGGAACGCAAAACCTGGATTCTTGCCTCAATTCCCCATTTTCTGCTTTTGCACAATCTGTTGGAATTGTACACTGAAGACGGACTGGGAGATGCCCCGGCGTACTGTAAACTTATCAAGCACCCATCCCTTGAATTGTTTATGCAGCTGCCTAGAGAATTAAGTACGGTAATAAAATATGCTTTGCAAACCAGCCTAAGGCACTAGGATAATAGAAACATTTGCTCTGTTAGTCGATAACATTGCAAGATGTGGAAAATTTCAGAGTTAAAATATTATAGAAGGAAAAAGTCAAATCTTGCTTTGGGAGGGAATGATCAGAAGATGCTGGGTAATAACTTAGAACAATATTTCTCAATCTTGCCAGCTTTTAATATGCGTGGACTTCAACTCCCAGAATTCCCTAGCCGGCAGAAAGCTCCCCCCTCCAAAAAAGGGAAAAAAATTGAACTCGCATTTAATCCATTGTGCCTGTAGTTGTGACAGCCTTAATTCAGATTGTAGGAGACACCGTTTTATTCATTTAATCAAATGTATATATGCCGTTGAATTTTTAAATCAGCTTATGGCAGCTTGGAAAACCGCATATTGGCAAAATAAAAAAAAATAAACCGCAATAAATAAAATACAATATTAATAACTGATTTCAGCTGGTGATGGGCCAGAGCAACAGGCTCAGCTGAAGCTTTCCTTCAGTTCCAGCCAGGCAGGTGGGCTGGATTACAGCTCCCATCATCCCCTGTCACACGGGCCGGGCTTGACAAGGACTGGATAGTATGGTATAAATCAGGGGTCTTCAAACTTGGCCCTTTTATGACTTCTGGACTTCAACTCCCAGAATTCCTCAGCCAGGCATGCTGGCTGAGGAATTCTGGGAGTTGAAGTCCACAACTCATAAAAGGGCCAAGTTTGAAGATCCCCGTCTTAAAATCTAACAAACAAAATGGAGGTTGGCTGAGGAATTCTGGGAGTTGAAGTCCACAAGTCATAAAAGGGCCATGTTTGAAAACCCCTGGTATAAATAAATCATTTTTAAGATGGGTGGACTTCAAACCCCCAGAATTCCCCAGCTGTCATTCTTTCACACGTCTGGACTTCAATTCCCAGAATTCCCCAGCTAGCCATGCTGACTAAGGAATTCTGGGAGTTGAAGTCCTTACGGCAAATGTTGCTAAGCTTGAGAAACATTTGGCAATAAACGAAGGCCACCTGTAGGGGGCGTCTACGGCTCCTCCCCGAAAAGTCCGCGCTCCTTTATGACGAGAGGGCGTGGAAAAGGTGGGCGTGGCTCATGCAAATAGGGAAGGTGAAACAAATGAGGCGCGCGTGTGACGTTGCCGAGGAAGGCCGGCTCCACCGCTTGAGCGTCATCCCCGCGAGCCGCTGACGTCCCAGAAGGTTGGCCGGGCGGCGACCGGTGACGGGGCGGGATTTCCTGTCCGCGGAGCGAGCGGGGGAGGCCGAAGTGAGCGGCGGGGAGCCAACCGGCCGCTGCCGTCGCCATGATCAAGAAGTTCGACAAGAAAGATGAGGAGTCCGGTAGGAGCCGCTTTGATTTACGTAAAAGTGGTTGCTAGGCAGATTTGAGGAGTCCCTTCCCTGCGGGGCTGCTAGCCCCGTTGATTCACCCCAAAAGAGACCGATTTGCTCCGCCCCTAGGAGGCGTGGTCCACGCATCCTCTCCTGAGAGGTTCGAAGCAGTTAGCTGAGCTTGGGGGCGTGGTCGGGGAGGGCGTGGCTTTAGGAGTAAGGGGGACGGAGAAGAAGCTGTTCTCGCTTAGCCACCTCCCCCTCCGGGTTGCCGCAAACCCACTTTTTCTTTGCACGTCTGAACGGGGCCATGCAAAGCGGGCCGGCAGATTGGACCTTCTGGGTCAAGGGGCTCCTGGGGGCCCAGGTCGGGGTCCCTGGGCTGAGGGGTCCCTATGTTGCCTCTGTGCGTTTCTCAGGTGTGTTACTTAGCAAGCAGCAATGGAACCCCCCCCCCCAAATAGATGGGAAATGCGAGTTAGAGGAAGGGTCTCTTTGGGGCAAGGGTTGAAGCTGGGTTGGGGGAAAGCTGGGGCTGAACTGGGGCCCCCACCCCTCAATGCTGGTTGCCTTGCAAAAAAAAAAAAAGCCCAGGATTTAAGTCCTAGAATCCTTGGGAAGAAAGGGATCCTTAGAGGACATCTAGTCTAACCTCCTTCCCAAGGCAGGAGTCTTTATAAGTCCTCGACTTAGGGCAGTGGTTCTCAACCTTTTTAATGCCGCGACCCCCAACCGGTCGTAAGTCGAGGACTACTCAACCGGTCGTAAGTCGAGGACTACTCAACGGGTGCAGCCCCGTTTGCAGAATGGGACTTTTGGCAGGCTCAGCAGGGCAGAGACAGCCTGGACAATT